CTATTCTTTTTTTTTTTTTTTAAGATTTTATTTATTTATTTGAGAGAGAGAGAATGAGAGAGAGCACGAGAGGGAAGAGGGTCAGGGGGAGAAGCAGACCCCCTGCTGAGCAGGGAGCCCGATGCGGGACTTGATCCTGGGACTCCAGGATCATGACCTGAGCCGAAGGCAGTCGCTTAACCAACTGAGCCACCCAGGCACCCTTTTCAGTTCCTATTCTAAATAATCTATTTCCTGCCTTCTCACCACTCCCTCTACCCCATACCCAAGGTGCCCAGCACTCTCAAACTGACTTTTGGCCCAACATGGACCACCTCACTCACGTCTTCCTTCTGCCTCAGCAAAAACTCCTATTTCTAGGAGGTACCTATTCTTTTTTTTTTTTTTTTTTTTAGGAGGTACCTATTCTTTTCCACATGTTCAGGTGATATGAATTCTTGCTAAGATGTGAATCATTAATTGGCATAGCCCTCGTCAGGGGTGGGAGGACGTTGTTAAAATGAATCACTAACCAGGGAGAAGAGATTTTGTTTTTTTGGCTGCATGTACAGGGAAAGAGATTTTTTAGCTGAATACTTTCTGCTCCTTTAGCATCAGGGAATGAAACAGCAAACGACAGAGAATTAGCACTGCACAGTGGGTAACAAATCACAAATCTACTGTAGTAGAGCCATCATCTAGCCACATCTGCCAAGGTCTTTGCTGAGTGGAACTACACTCTGCTATAAGACTCCTGCACTGTACTTTGCCATTAACCTAGGCCGATGATTTGCATTGCCAAAATGTAAATCCTGCTTTTTTATTTCAAATACAAACAACTCTTACTAAGTCCTTTTACACGGTAAGATACAAGATAGAATCTCTATCTTAATCTAATCCTTGCTGCTTCTTCAGCCCAAGAACTCACAGAAAAGCCTTAAAATAAAAGTCAATTAAGCTCATAATCCACAGAGAAGGATAAAAGTAGAAAGCAAGGGGATAGCACTGTTCTCTTGAGAATAGCAATTCCCCTTTGGGAGATAATGCTGTTTATCCTAAGGATCTGTGGGATTTCTGCTACAGTGTGTTTCATTGAGTTCTGTTTTTTTTTTTTTAAAGATTTTATTTATTTGAGAGAAAGAGAATGAGAGATAGAGAGCACGAGAGGGAAGAGGGTCAGAGGGAGAAGCAGACTCCCTGCTGAGCAGGGAGCCCGATGTGGGACTCGATCCCGGGACTCCGGGATCATGACCTGAGCCCAAGGCAGTCGCTTAACCAACTGAGCCACCCAGGCGCCCCAAGTTCTAAGTTTTATGAAGTTCCAGGATAAGAGGACATACCCAGAGTCAAATGAATCCAGGCATTTAAAAATATCTCATATATGGTTCCTAGCCTGCTCCCCCTTTTCCCACATAAGAACTGCCACTGTAGCTCACCGTAAAGTAATAAAGAAAAGAAAAACCTGAATGACTTTACACAATCTGTGAGTTCACACGAAGGAAAGAAATGTACCACCAGAATGGAACAGATCCCTGGGACAGCTATTTGGTCCTCCCCTCAAAACTAAAAACACCTTTCTCTCACCCTCACTAAATGATTTTTGCTAAAATAAATTTAGTTACATTGCCAAAAATGTTACCAAAGGGGTACCTGGGTGGCTCAGTTGCTTGTGTCCAGCTCTGGATTTTGGCTCAGGTGAAGAGATCGAGCCCCATGTGGGGCTCCACACTCAGTGGGGAATCTGCTTGAGATTCCCTCTCCTTCTGCCCCTCCCCTGTTCTTTCTCTGGAATGAATAAATAAATCTTAAAAAAAAAAAATTACCAAAGACCTGAGTTAAAAAGTACAGCTCTAAAAACTGCTGCTTAATCATCAGGGTGAATCACCTTACTTTTCTCCTACTAACTAACTGAGACAGTTATGCTCAGAGAATTCTGATTAGCAGGGAGGGAAGGCAAGTAATTTGGGGGTGTGGAGCATTTGAGAGATATGAGAAGTGTGGGAAGGATGATATACTGGTAGGGAGAAGAGGGAAGGAAAAGAAGATTGGAACTAGCTTTTATTGGGAATTCACTCTGGGCCAGATCTACCAGGTCAGGTACTTAGACCTTACCACCTTACGTATTCTTTACAATTCTGCAATGCAAGTGTTATCATTCATATTTTACAAACAAAACCAAAAACAAACCCTTGTACGTAGATTAAATCATCTCTAAAAGGTCGTATAGCTAGTAAAATTGCAGATCTCTGATCTGAACCAAAGACAACTTATTCACAAAACTCTACAAGTGGAAAGTACCAAATGGACTGCTCCTGCCTGACGTCAGGGGGAAACTCCTCTGACTAATTTCTTACTTAGTTAAAGGGACTGAGAAGTCAGGCTGTACCATCCCGTTATATTATGAATCAAAGAACTTTTTATAGTGTAGTTTGTGAATATAATCACAGTTTCAGAATTACAGATAAATATTTTCAAGTCCCAAATATTTTAGTCCCCAAATTTCAAAAATATCCCATTCCTAGTTTGGAAACTGGTTTAATTTACCCCAACACAAGTGATTGGAGGTTCATGAGCTGTATTAAATGATCTGTTTCACAGTTTTCATGTCCTTATTTACTCAGCCTGAATAAGCAACAATTCAGCTAATAATCTTGTATACTGCACTTATTACTGCCAGACACACAGAGTTTAATATTATCTATTTCCATCCCTACTTCATTCATGGTCTAGAACAAGATACAATTTCATACAAACAGCTAATAAAAATGTAACAAACGCTATTAGGCATGTATAAACTGTTAGAAGCAAACAAAAAGGAAATAAATTTAAGGAATGGTATCCACAGACACACACTTCCAGGTCTAGAACTGGGTATACAGTATGCTGCCTTCTGCATCAGACAGGGTGGCAGGGAATGGGATATGAACATGTATGAGAAACACATAAGGTAAGGTGGTAAAGCACTGGTGACCCAATCACTTGCTTGTCTCTGCTGTTTTTATTTGAATGAACTCTCAGGGGAGAGGAGTCAAATGCTGTATCTAGTCCATAATTGTGAACTTTGTACTTTTAAGGAAAAAGGAATATTTGACTTTCTACAGAAACTTGCAGAGATAAATAGGAACATTCAGTTCTATTCTCTCTCACCTTTTCACAGTGCTTGCTGTCTATGAAGAAATGAAGTGACTAAAGTATTTCTTTGATATCTAATAGAATTTCCATGATTATGGGTTCTTATTATATGTAGGACTTTCTATGTTCTGTTACTACATGTTTCTGAGAGGAGAATTCCACTATTTTCATTAGCGTTCCAAGGGGTCTATAATCTAAAAGGTTAAGAGCCGCAGGATAAAATGAAATGCACTCTTTCAAACAGTGGTAGAAGGTAAAAAACCCCATTCCATAATGCTGGGTTTGAATGTTAGATCTTAAATTGAAGGTGTTTAAATCACAAGAAATTAAAGTTTGAAAATAATCTTGAAGTTGTTTAAAAAGCCCAAGGCAATCCGGTAACAAATGACTGTATAATATGTTGATAAGCAGTGGGTGCACTGCGCAGTGGGTAACAAATCACAGACACACCTCAGGGCATTAGCTCTCTGGTATAGCAAGCAGCGGACAGTGCTGAGGGGTAGGGGTGCCGGAGATTTCCCAACCCGATGATCTGGATAGCTACTTGGGATGTAGTCTTTCAGGTACAATGGAGTTTTACACAGAAGGCCCAGTGACTAAATTTTAGAAGACCTAGATGCTGAGTTAAGATGAAGGTAAAAAGTAACCAAGAAGGGGAAGAACTGACTGATATATTAGCCAAGAAGGTCAGTGTCTCTACAAAATTAAACTGCAAGTTGTTAATTCTGTTAAGACAGGTTTTGTTAAAGCTACCTAAATGTCAGCTTCTGGATTCTAAGCAAATGACATTTGGACATATGGCATTTCACATACTAGTTCACATAATTGTTTTATACATATTTTTAAAATAAGTAAAAAAATCTAAGAACACAGTAACACAGAAAGAGTTGTATGGATAACAATGTATGATTTTAACCTCTCAAATATTTGTTCAAAATAGGAAAATAAAAATATGTATACCGTTAAAGAAAAAAACTTAATGACACTTGTCAACACCTGCTAAAGAAGACTTTATTCAAGGGGGGAAGCTACCAAGAAAGGTAGAGGACCACTGCAATAGAACTCTGCACTGGGCCGGGTGGGCGGGGAGAGATTGGGTTCAGCTCTGAATACTGTATGGGCAAGTGGGAATTTAGAGCCAAGGAGCAGTGTGGGAGTCAGTGAATGGAAAATTCCTAAGAGGAAACATCAGGGGTGAGGGAGATTCTGGCTAAACTGACTTAAGAGAATTTTCGCTAGAGACAGGCCAGTGCAATGAGACATCACCTAGGGGATAACCCATCAGATACTGAGTGGGGGGGTTCTGTTAAACTGGCTTAGCAGGGTTCTTGCTAAAACAGAATTTTATAAGGAAGTACACAGATGGGCTTGGGAAAAGGTTCAGGAGACTGACTAAAATTTGGTCAAGCAAAGAATCTTTATCAGCATTTACAGAATTATGATGATACAATGGCAGCAACAAAGGTCAGCCACACAGTATATGTGAAACATATTACTGTATCGCTTAAGATCTGGGCTAAGCAGCCTTTGGCTGGAATACCTGAAGTGTGAGAAAGCAGCTAATACCCATTAGCATAAACTCATGTGGTTTTGCCTGGTTGAGTAAACTGAAGGTAAACTTTTTTCTGATAACATCTTTAGGAAACAGGGAATAACATTTAAAGATTAATGATTACCATATAATTTTATATGTGTAAACTGTTTAAAGCTGACTAGGCTGAATGTATCCTGGACTATATGTATCTGAATAAATCTTGTTCATCTATTTCCATTTGCTTTATTCAAATAGGTTATCACCAGAAAGATTTCAGTTACTCAGAGGTTAGTTATAGTTCATTGTGGTTTTACTATGAAATTTTATAAACCAAAAGAAATTACCAATTACCTACCTAAGCGATGGAATCCAAAGGTGAATCTTTTGGTTGGTGATTTTGAAGATAGCCACAAAGCAAGCAGGGTCAGTATGATAGCGCTTAGGTCAGTTAACATATGAAGTGCATCTGTCATGATTGCTAGGCTGTTTGCAATGTATCCACCTTGGAGTAAGGGTGAGAGGGAAGAAGGAATAAGTTAATTAAAATAATAAACATAAGCAAACCAAAAATATGTAACATCCTACAAAACATCAAATTTGAGCTAAATCTTTATCCTATTACAATTAAATCAAGATACCCTGAAATTTTATGCAAAACATTAAATATGTGTATTTTTGTGGTGAAAATGTCCATTTCTATGGACAGATTCTCTGAGGAGTCAATGACCTTAAAAACATTAAGAACTGGGGTGCCTGGGTGGCTCAGTTGGCTAAGCGTCTGCCTTTGGCTCAGGTCATGATCTCAGGGTCCTGGGATCCAGCCCTGCTGTTGGGCTCCCTGCTGCTTCCCCTGCTTGAGCTCATGCTCTCTCTCTCTCTCTCTCAAATAAATAAAATCTTAAAAAAAAAAAAAAATTAAGAACCACTAAACTGGGCTCTAACACATAGAAATTTTGTGTTTTAGCACTGCAGCTTTTACTCAACCTACTAATCCTACTATTAGTGAAATTAATAACCACAGTATCTAAATATTACAAGAAAGCTGAAGATAGATACTCACTTGTTTGAGAGGGTTTGACCACAAAATTAAACTGAAGAAATTTTTTAAATGTACATTAGTTCAAAATGAAGGATACAGATAACTGATTCCCTTGGGTATAGATAACAGTGTCTCAGAGAGATTAAAGGTGGTATTTAGAATAAAATTTTTCCAGGCATTATATGTATATGTGATATATAAAATTAATTTTGTATACGTGTGTGTGTGTATATATATATGTATGTTGTTCTATTATGGTTAACCAATTGTCCTAGCGCCATTCATTGAATAAGCTTTTTATACACAATATTCAAACCTTTATGTGTATCAGAATCACCTGGAAGATTTGTTAAACTACAGATTGCTTGCTCCACTCCCAGAATTTCTAATTCCAGAGGGCTGGATGAGGCCTGAGAGTTTCCATTTTTAACATGTTCCCAAGGTGATGTCGATGCTTCTAGTCTTGGTATCTTTGAGAATCACTGTTAAAATGAACTTCATGATCAGGGTGTTATGACATATAAGTGTGCTGAGCCGCTGTTCCCCTCTTTCTGGGATGAGTGTGCAGAGCCAAGAGCAGCAGGCGACTGAGCTGGTGATCTTGTAATCACATCAATTTACTCCAGTGTGGTCTATACAAATACCACTTTTAATATTCCCTTGACATTAAAGAGCTGGAAATCACTGAGAAAAATACAAGTTGGTGGCTAAGAGGGTTTTGGACTCTCTGAGACTCTCTCAGCAAGTTACTTAATACTTTTGAGCCTCAGTTTCCTTATCTGTAAGGGTAATACCTTAAAGCTGTACTGTCCAGTAAGTCTCCGAGATGATGGAAATGTTCTATCTGTGCTGTCCAGTAGAGTAGCTACTAGTCACATGTAGCTTTTGAGCATTTGAAATATGGATAATGCAACTGAGGGATTTATTTTATTTAATATTAGTTAACCTAAAGAGCCATGTGTTGATAATCATCAGCAAAAAAATAGAGTAAGGACCTCTGAAAATCATCTCCTCTATGAAAGTAATGAGAACATGGGCAAAAATGGTCCAAATCAGTTTTTTAGAACTCTGGAAATTAACCAAAGACTGATACAGGTAGTATTCATTCAAGGAAAACAATTGAATCTTTATAAGAACATCGAAAATTCTGTAGCCTTGGACCCCCCTCTCTCTCTCCCGTTCTATGGCAGCCCTGAAAACCAATAGGCAACAATCGTAGTGAAAACCAGCCTGGGGGCACCTGGATGGCTCAGTTGGTTAAGCGACTGCCTTCGGTTCAGGTCATGATCCTTGAGTCCCCGGATCGAGTCCCGCATCAGGCTCCCTGCTCTGCAGGGAGTCTGCTTCTCCCTCTGACCCTACCCCCTCTCATGTGCTCTCTTTCTTTCTCTCTCAAATAAATAAATAAAATCTTTAAAAAAAAAAAAAAAAACAGCCTGGCAGCCACTGCAAGAGATGAAATGGGGGTTAGAGATACTTACAAGCCCCATTCCCAAAGAACTATCATTATTTGATCCGCCTGGTAGTTCCCTGGGGAAAAGCACAGTAGCAAGGCCGTTTTGACTTGACTTAGGATCTGTCTTAGGCAAACCCTAAGGAATGTTTGTCAAAAAACAATCCAAGGGAATTGTTTAATACTGCAGCTGCCTGAAACAATAGGTGACAATGTGCTCCCTGTATTCTGAAATTTCACAATCATATACCTTGGTATGGGTTTATTTTCACCCAATTTGCTGGGTTTTTGTTGACTCTTTTTATCTGGAAAGGTATACACTTCAATTCTGGGCAAATTTCTTAAACTATATTGTTGACAGTTTCTTTTCTTCTGTTTTCTCTAGTCCCCGAATTCCTATTATTTGGAGTTTGGATTGATACACTAATTTTCTTATGTTTTTCCTCCTATTATATATTTCTATCTTTTTGCTCTACTCTGAGATATCTTAGTTCATCCTGTAACTTTTTTATGGAGTTCAAAATTTTTTTGTTTTTATTGTTCAAAAGCTCTTTACCTTGAATTTCTTGTCTATTCTTGTAGGTACATATCTCTTATTTCTGTGGATACTAACTATGTCTGTTTAACTAATTTCCTTATTTTAGTCTTCCTCTTGACCCACACTTCTAGGGGTACCAGGTGCAACCAATTCTGGGCCTACTTAGGATTCTGAAGAACAGTAGTTCTCAGTATGGTCCCCAGTATCAGGATCTCCTGTGAACTTGTAAGAAATGCAAATTCTCAGGCCCTATCCCAGACCTACTTAATTAGAAGCTCTCACCCAGCAATTTGTGTTTTAATAAATTCTCTAGGTGTTTCTGATGAATTAGTGTAAACTGGGTTGATTCTTGGCTTTCCCCAACTGCTGCATAGGAGGTGGTTTTCTTGGGTCTATTAAGTCAGTTATTTCTTTTATCTATCTCCTTTCTAGTTTCCCAAAGTTATGTTGTTATTATCTTGTCTCCAGTTTTCCCCATCTATGTGGACACATACACACACAGACCCACATGTGGATGGATATATGGCTATATACATATATATACATTTAAAAATCCCTTTATTTTAGTTTGAGAGGCTTCAGGAGAAAGTACATTTAGATACATGAGTTCATTTGCCATCTTTACTGGGAAGTCTGCATTCATTCTTCAAGCTTTTTCACTCCCAATAAAAATGCAGTTGTTAATCAATGACTATTACTAAATTCAAAGGATAGTTTAGTTCTCATTAGACCTCTCAGCAGCTTTAACTTATTTATTTCCACTTGGAAATACTCTATTTTCTTAGATTCTGAAATACCTGTTTGTCTTTTGCCTGACGTCTAAAGTTGAGTTCCTCAAAACAGACTCTGTAGGTGGTTTTTTCCATTCTGATAGTACTACACACTGTATCTCTTAACTTGACCTCTCTTCTGAACTATGGACTCACATCTAACAGCTCACTAGACATCTTTACTGACTATTTTACATACATGTGATAATGAACACTGTCTAAAACAACCCTTGAGCCCATGCCTAAATCCTGCTCTGTATTTTCTCCCTGCCTAATTAAAAGACATAAAATTCCATACACTCAGTTGCTTAGGTGAGAAACTTCAGAATCAACCCCCACATCTAAACCATTAGTCAATTTTGTTAATGTTACCTCTAGAATATTTCTCAATCTCCCTCCACACCAGTCCAAGCCATAACTGTTTCTTTTCTGGACGTCTGCAATAGTTTACTTGCTTCCATTCTTGCACCCTCCAATCCATCTCCACATAAGGGCCAGAATAATCTTTTAAAAACATAAATCCCATCATATCACTCTCCACTTAAAAGCCCTGACTGGTTTTTCATTGTACTTAGAATTAAAAACTACATTCATAATATGGTCTATCAGAACCGGCCTGATCTGGTCCTCTGGCCTCTTTCTTATTATATTCCAGTGAAACTTGCCTTCTTTTTAGGTCCTTTTAAAGAATTGAAGGTTTTTAGGACCTTTGTACATGCTGTTCTCTTCACTTGGAAAACTCCTCCACTCCTTTTGCTTGAATAACTTTTTTTTTTTTTTTTGGTTTAACTGTAGCTGGCTCATACATAAACTATGTCCCACTGGTTACTATGTCTTATAGTACCTTGTTCTTTTGCTTCATAACACTTAAGGCCATACGGACTTTAAATTTATTTATTTGTTTAACATCTGTGCCCTCCATTAGACTGCTTCAGATAGTAGGTTTTATTATTTTTTTAAAAGAGTTTATTTATTTGAGAGAGAGAATGAGACAGAGAGAGAGAGCATGAGAGGTGGGAGGGTCAGAGGGAGAAGCAGACTCCTCACCGAGCAGGGAGCCCAATGCAGGACTCGATCCTGGCACTCCAGGATCATGACCTGAGCCAAAGGCAGTCGCTTAACCAACTGAGCCACCCAGGCGCCCCAGATAGTAGGTTCTGTAAAAGTACTCAAAAAATGCTTGCTGAATGATCTAAAGTTTCAAAGCAAGTTAGTGGCAAAGCCAAGATTCAAAATCAAGTCTTCTCTTTCAGATCTTTAAATTACTTCATTTTTTAAATTACTCCATACTTTCTATATAAGACGCCTCATTTCTAAGTGCTTTTGATACACTTTAATAAATGCTCTACTATATACAATTTAATTCTATGTAATATTCTGAATATATTTTTTAAAGATTTTATTTATTTATTCATAAGAGACAGAGAGAGAGAGAGGCAGAGGGAGAAGCAGACTCCCCACTGAGCAGGGAGCCCGATGCGGAACTCGATCCCAGAACCCTGGGATCATGACCTGAGCCGAAGGCAGACACTTAACCATCTGAGCCACCCAAGCACCCCTGAATATTTGTTAATGCTTATCCTAAGTATTAGTATTTTTGTATTATTTAACATAAGATTTTTATCTGTGAAAATAAAGTCAGTATTTTAAAAAAAATACTTATTGTGGCTTTCACAAAACAACATTTATCAAATAAGAGGTTTCAAAAATGGTATGTCAGGACAATTTTATCTTAATAATTTTTATTTAGGTAAAATAAGCTCTAATTTTAAGGGGGAAAATTGTGATTAATATGATTTTAACTTCAAATACAAAATATTAACTTCAAGAATTACTAAGTCTGGAGCGCCTGCATAGCTCAGTCAGTTAAGCGTCTGCCTTCAGCTTAGGTCATGATCCCAGGGTCCTGGGATGGAGCTGGGAAGCGTAGGGCTTCCTGCTCAGTGGGGAGTCTTGCTTTTCTTCCTCTCCCTCCGCTCCCCCCGTGTGTGCATGAGCACGCACTCTCTCAAATAAATAAATAAATCTTAAAAAAAAAAAAAAGAATCACTAAGTCTTACTGACTCGATAATCTAGCTGTGTGAATTTGGGCAAGTCACTGAATCTTAGTCTGTAGAGGCCATGCCTTCTTACCTGGACACAACTTCACTTTTACTTTCTTTACAGCTTAAGCATTTATAATTCTCTATCACAATAAAAATTAATTCAACATAAGTTTATTGAATGTCTATTCTGTACCAGTCACTGTTGTAGATGCTGGGAATGCAGCTTGTATTTCAGTGGAAGACGACGACAGATATTAAACAAGTGAATATACAAACAAGATAATCTCAAGATGCTGAGGGCTTTTAAAGTTAGGGAGAGAACAGGGGAGATGAGATATTTAGTCAGTCAGAAAAGGTCTCTCAGAGTTATCTTTTGGGGTAAGATACGAATGTCAAGAAACCAGCCCAGAGAAGACTGGGGAAAAGGCACTCCAGGTTAAGCAGTGTTTTTCAACTGCAGGCCCTGATCTGTGGAACACGAAATCAATTAAGTGGGCTGGGGCCATAACTGAAAAAAAAAAATACTAGAACACATCTCAAGAAATGAGACTTTTGTTTCAGTTATACATATATTTACACATATATGTGTGTGTGTGTGTGTACTTTACATATGTATGCATGCATGCCTACCCAGGTCACAATGTTAAGTGTAGTTTTTAATATAGTGAGATCAAGAAAGTTTGAAAGCCACTGAGGTAGAGGGACCAGCCAGTTTGAAGGCCTTATGGACAGGAAAGAGCTTTGTGAGACACAGGGAGAAAGAAGGACAGCATGTCTGAAGTGTGCACTGGGGAGAAGAGGTATAAAATGAGGTACGAAATGTATATAATTTTCCTATATATAACCTCTGGCCAGCATCTTAATCTGGACTGCCACCTGTTCTCTTAATGGTTAATCATTAAGAAACAACATGGCAGATTTATCTCCCTGCTTTAATGTCACTTTGTAAACTGTCACTAAGAGAAGTTAGCAGTTACACTAATGTGACTGAAATTAATCTCTAAGAATATATTTTATAGTGAGAATGTACTACTTGAATTATCAAAAAGTGAAAAAACGGGATGCCTGGGTGGCTCAGTCCGTTAAACGTCTGCCTTCCGTTCAGGTCATGATCTCAGGGTCCTGGGATGAGTCCTGGGGATGAGTCCTGCATCGGGCTCCTTGCTCATCGGTGAGCCTGCTTCTCTCCCTGCCTCTGCCCCTCCCCCAGCTTGTGCTCTCTCTCTCTCTCTCTCTCTCTCTCTGGCAAATAAATAAATAAACCTTAAAAAAAAATACTGTAAAATGTGAAAAAACCAAGTTCATAAACCCTGGGGGAGCCCTCTGGTTCCTTTCAGATCCTTACTATAATGAAAAACTTTAAACGTCAGTTGGTAGTATTTAATTTTGCAAATCTCTTGGATATAAATACAAAAGGAAATACTAACAAAGAAGAGACCGCTTAAGTCAAATGTAGAGAAAAAAGTAAGGAGCCTGGGACTGTAGATGTGCCTCTTCCACTAACCAGCCAAGTGTCCTCACAACTTGTTTCACTCTCGGGGCCCTCAGATTCCTTATGTGTGAAAAAGAAGGAAGAGCAGGTGTTCAGTAGGTCATTTCATACTGTAAAATTTTATGATTCTACGTTTAGATCACTTACTATTTTAAATGATGCAAAAACTAACCTGGTGTTTTATCAGAATTTTTTAAAGAGGAAGTTACATGATATACGATGAAGCTAATGTACTTAACTTTACAGTAGGTGTCACAGTGTTTGGAGAAGAGAAGAAAAAGTCAAAAGTTATCTCTGAAAGTTTATGTCGTACTTGGGTTGATCTGCACTTTGGAACCGTGTGGACTTTTCCTATCACGAGATCAGTATCTTGATAAATAACAAATTTCCTGAAAAGAAAGTTTAAACCTCAAATCATGTGTAACTAAAGCTTGACAATAACCCTCGGGCCAAGGTAAATGGAAAGTGAGTTGGCAACACAACTCACCTACAAGTTCTCCAATCATGAAAAGCAAGTAAAGAACGGCAGCAATGGTCAATCTGGTTTTCACCTTTCTCTGCTTCAGTAACTCTCGCTGTCTGCTGCAGTTGTCACAGGGGTCCACCTTCAAACTCAGCTGACTGTTGGTCAAAGCTAAGTCCTGGTCCAGTAAGGAATCGTCGTCGGCCTGCAGGGCCGGGTGCGCCCCGTTAATAGGCCTTTCTGGGATTTCAGAACCATCATCGGCCACCACAACTCGAAGTTTGTTAAACCGAGAAAGCCCCTCGTCCCCCACCTCGTCCGAGAAGTCAAAGGCGCTGGTGTCATTTAAAAACAGCGGCGCATCATCCTTCCTTAGCAGAGATTTGAGGCGCTTCCACGCGCCGGATCCGGCCATGGCAGAGGCTGAGCCGCCGCGGCACGGAAAGGCTCGGTGCAGGCGGCCGGCCGGCGGCTCCTACTTCACCGGAGCGCCAGTTCCCGATGGCACCGCCGCGCGTCCCTCCCCATCCTGTGGAAAACGAAACACGTTAACACGTTATAAATCAAAGGCGCCCCAACACTGCCCACAAGTTCCGAAGCCCCGGGCGGCGGGGGCGCCAGGCCGGCCCGGAGGCGCCCGGGCTCCGCGAAGGGGCGGCGCGTCTACCTGGGGCGCTGCCGCGGGGCCGCCGCTCATCTCCCCGCCCCCGGCCGGCTCGGCGGGGCCGACTCGCACAGCTCGGGCCGGGGCCGCGCGGGGAGTCGGGCAGTCCTCGCCCCTGCCGCGCCCGCAGCTCCAGGCCGGCTCCCCTAGTCTGACAGGTTCGGGGCCGGGCGCCGGGGGCCGCCGTCTCTCCCCGCCCTGCGCGAGGCTGCGCGCGTGCGCCGGCGCGGCCGCAGGCCAGGAGCGCGAGGGAGGGGTCGGCACGAGCACACGCAGGCCCGCTGCGCAGGGCTGCGGCGCCCGCGAGGGGCGGGGCAGGGGCGCGCGCCGCATCCCCCGCCCGTCGCCCCAGTCCCGGCTGCGGAGCCCGGCGCGCCTACCTCTGGCCGAGGGGCGCTCACAGGGATGCCCGCGTCTCCGGCGCAGCCCTTGCCACCTCCCCAGGCGGAGAGGCATGAGCGGATGGAGCCGGGGCCTGCGGACTAAGTGGGTAGATTCGAACGGTCCGGCCCGCCGGGCGTTGCTGCCCGAGCTCGCTCCACCCAACGAGGGCCTCAGGAATCTTGGGTCAGGATCTTGGTTGCAGATCCGCGGCAGAAAACCATTTTAGCGCTTTCTTGCTAAGTGAGAAACCCAGCAGCTTTCTTTCCTCGAGTTGCTGCTTCTCTGGCAAGTTGGCAAAATTTGATGCACCGTCAGGTCAACTTCGAGAGGGCAAGGCTTATGGTCGTGAGCAGTTCTAAGTCCTGCTTTGGATTTACTATTGCTTTTCATCAAATATGTGTTGTCCTGTGTGTGTTCGCTGCCATGTTCCTGTTGCTTCCATTTATAACATGGACTAAACCCAAGCACAAAATCTAGTAGGGGTTTCCGTTTGGGCCTTTGGTTCTGTTAACCAAATTTAGAATAATTAAGTTCTGAATAGTAGTTTCTGATTTAGATCTAAGTTGTAATGGTAAAATGGAATGGCAATAAGCCTCCCCATTCCCCTTCTCCCTTGAAGTCTTAAGAGATTCTTAATCCAGATTCCTTGGATGGGTTTTAGGGGCTTCTGGAGGCCTTAAACTCATGTGCAAAATACTGTGGTTTATATGTATTTTCTTGAGTTAAGTCCCTTAGCTTTTATCATATTCTCAAAAGGGTTTAAGACTCACATTTTACGATTTAAAACAGCAACACTGTCAGGGGAGCTAACACTTGGAGTTGAACTGTAGTGAAACTCCTAGTTATCCTGTGTTAATGGATGTTGTATTTTGACGATACCAAATTTCAAGTCACAAAATATACAATAAAAAGTCACATGGAGCATCATTTTCCTCTGAAGATTCAGATGGCACTTTAGAATTTCGCATGCCTCAGGTGCCAGAGCACCAGCTGCTTTTGGATTCCCCAGCAATCCCTCACTTTTGAATGTGCACCAAATTCCTACAGAGCTGCCGCCATAGGAGTCAGGTTAGGAAACCTGGATCAGAGATCCCATGGTTCCCAAGTCTGAGGAGGGCAGACTTGCCTAGAATATTCAATAACCAGAGCACTCAGGTCATTATCAGCTGAAGGCAGAGTGCTTACTGAGCCTTGCTCTCCTAACCCCAAATATCTTAATCCATTCAACTCAGGAGTAAGTTATTTGTTGTTTTTCATTTCAGTTTGTTATATTGCCTGAAATTCTGCTAATGAGAAATACAAATGAACAAAGCAAATATGTCAGGAATGTGATTGTTCTTTCTTTGGTATAAATTCTTCAAATAAGATTCCATTCAAGGAAAGGGGATAGATGTTCTCAAGAAAAGTTGAGGCAGAACATGGATAATTTTGGGTACTTACAGTAAGCTTTGTTGGGAAGGGCTGCAGTTCTGGCATCCCAATTTATTTTTACTATTTTATATCGTTGGGTATCTGGACAGAGTGATAGGAGGATAACAAAAAACTATATAGTGATTTTAATGTATGTCCACAAATTCTGATATTCATCGCATGCAGAGGTAGAGCTTAATCTCCCTCCCATTGAATGTGAGCGTCTCTTGATGAATACCATATGGCCTACAATGAATAGAATATGACAATAGTGACAGTGTATGACTTAAAAGACTAGGTCATAAAAGGCACTGCAGCTGCCTGCTTGTTCTCTCTTGGATCACTTGTGCTGAGGAAGCCAGAGTTACCATGTCACGAGGAACTCAAGCAGCCCCAAAGAAAAGCCCATGTGATAAGAAATGGACACCTCCTGCCAATAGCCATGTGAATGAGCCATATTGGAAGCAGATGCTCCAGCCCCAGTTAAACCTTCAGATGATTGTAGCCGAGGAGATGTTGACTGAAATCCCAGGAGAGATCCTGAAAAGCACCACCCAACTAAGCTGCTCCCAGATGATGCACAGAGACTGTGAGAGAATAATGTTTATTGTTTTAATATGGTAAGTTTGGGGATAATTTGTTACAAAGCAATAGATAACTAATACACTTAATCTCAACTTGCCTCTGTACCAGGAAATACAGTTTTTATTTTATCACATGGGCCCTTGTTCCTAGGCCTGTCCTTGGGCTAGTGGCATGATTTCTATCGTTGAACTTTAAAATGGGCCGAATAGGGGCACCTAGGTGGCTCAGTCATTAAGTGTCTGCCTTCGGCTCAGACCCTGATCCCAGGACCCTGGGATCGAGCCCCACATAGGGCTCCTACTCGGCAGGAAGCCTGCTTCTCCCTCTCCCACTCCCCCTGCTTGTGTTCCCTCTCTCACTGTCTCCCTCTCTGTCAAATAGATAAATAAAATCTTTAAAAAATAAATAAAATGGGCTGAATAGACTTCTGTGAATAGTCTTGGCATGTAACCACCATTTGCAACCTTGTTTCTATGCATTCAGAATTTATAACAATAGACAAGTGAACTTTTGAAACATAATCCATTTATAATCTGGGTACTGCCTGCAATTCAGCTAGCTATTGCTCAGCATGCCATTCTTTTATGAGACTTCATACTTCTCCAGTATGAAGAACTTTTCTGCATAGGCAAATAGATAAAGTTGCTAACCATTTATCCCATCTCTTAACCAGGTAACTCATAATACAAAAATTGTTTAGGTAATAGTAGATGTCTGACATTTGCAAGACACGTATCTCTGGCAGTCAACTAGAATAGCCCCACAATATCCTATGTCAAAACCTGTTTTCTGGCCCAGATGTTTTTGGGAACAAATGACAATGCTGAAAATAATACCACAGCTAACATTTACTTGAGGCTTTTTTATGTGCCAAGCACTTCCACGGGGGACCTGATTTATATCAGCTCACTTAATCCTTATAGCATCACTGTGAGGAAGTTAATTATTCAAAGCATGGGTTTTGAAGTCTGTGTGTGTGTGTGTGTGTGTGTGCGTGTGTGTGTGTGTGTGTGTGTGTGTGTCCTAGTTTCACCATTTAGTCCTATCATCTCTGGCAAACCATTTGACCAATTTGTGGTTCAATTTTCTTACCTATAAAAGGGGCTTGATGAGAGTACCCACTTCCCAGGGCTATGGTAAGGATTCAATAAACTCATGTATGTAAAGCATAGCATATATAGCTCCTAGCACATGGTAAGTACTCCATCAATGCCAACTATTAATATTTTTTAAGTAGAGGGACACCTGGGTGGCTCAGTTGGTTAAATGTCTGCCTTTGGCTCAGGTCATGATCCCAGGGAGCCTGCTTCTCCCTCTCCTCCCCGCTCATGCTCTCAGCCATTAGCCTACCTTATCCTCTCAGTCTGTTTCCACACACAAATGGAATGATCTACAGAAAAGTACTTAGATTCCTTGAGTGTGCTAGAAGAAATTCCTATTCCATACGCCAAAGATTTGCCAGCACCTCATGAGACTTCAGCATCATGCTGTGAAATCCTTCTTGGAAAGGATGGGGGAAAAGTGGAAAAGTTTTTAAAAATGGAAATATGGGGGGCACCTGGGTGGCTCAGTTGGTTAAGCATCTGCCTTCGGCTCAGGTCATGATCCCGGAGTCCCGGGATCAAGCTCTGCCTTGGGCTCCCCGTTCAGCGGAGAGCCTGCTTCTCTCTCTGCCCCTCCTTCCTGCTCTGCTCTCTCTCACTATCTCTCTCTCAAATAAATAAAATCTTTAAAAATTTAAAAAAAAATGAAAATATGGGAGAAGGTGCCACTTAATTGACAGGCTCAAATGTTGCATATTCCCCGTCCCGAGAATTCCTTTCATCATTGAAATAGGTGATTGTAGGATTCCCAAAGAATGTTTTTGGAATGTGACCCCCTTATCTTTCTCAGGAAGGGATGAAAGCTGTCAGATACATATGGACAAGGGTCGGTGATGTGATACACAACTAAAGAGTGTAATAATTTCTTCTTTTTATGGATTGCTCTGGTAACATAGAGGCTGGAAATTCAGTTTAACCCCTCTTCCAGGGGAAGAGCAGAAGGACACAGAGTAGTTAAGAGAATTGCCCAAGGACAGGCAAGTTTCCTTCTTGGACAGGGAGGAGATAAAGGAGAGGGTCTCTGGGCCAAGTCCATGTATCCTGCCTGGCAAACCAACCTGTGAGCCAAAACCTACACTAAACAAGTTCATTGTTTTCACACTTTTGTTTTTATCTTCCCTTATTTTTTAAAGTAAATGTACCGATGAAATTCTCTAACCATGTCTGGCTAAAATTAGAGGGAATAGGAGCTGGGAAGGGTTTAAAGTACAAGCACACCAGCCCTGCAGTCTGGAGGTGGCAGCTGGGCTCGGGGAGCTTGAAGGTGAGGGTGGAAGGGC